AATCACGCAAATCAAATATTCAAGAGGTACAAGACGATGAAATTATTGATCTGTACGCAGTCATCCCAACCGAAGGAACAGTGCTAACTTATATGAAAATCAGATTAGCGCCAAGCCTTCAAAGAAGAGTACTGATTGACACAGGAGCATGTGCAAACGTAATTTCGAAACAAACATTCGATGAAATTAAAAACGATAAAACACTATTCGCACCCTATAAAACGGCAAAATCAAACCTCAAGCAAGTGCGAATGGCAGGAGGCCAACTGGTGTCAATTGAAACTGAAGTAATCATTGAATTTCATATGGCAGATATGAACTTTACGGAAACGTTCCTGGTGCTGAATTCAACGATACTGGGAAACCCTTTCTTTAAAAAACACCATATACATGTCTGCTCAAAATACAATCTACTTCACTTTCCAGATTTGACACTCCAAATCAACGAAATTAAACCCGCCAATGCACCTAGGCGCACCAACCGAGTGAAAAAATTTCCTCTTGTTCTCACCAAGAAACAAATAATTGCACCTCATCAAACAGTCATAATCGAGTGCCAATTACAAGATATCCCGACTGACATGGAAAAAACGACAGGAATCGTAGTCCCATCACAGGAACTCGAAGATAAATGAAGTAAACAAACAAAATATCGTCTATGTCACGGCATTTAACATGACAGAACATAACTTAACGTTGCCTTTTAAAACCGAAATCGGAAAATTTTCGATACTCACGCTAACCGAATACGAAAATTTAATACAGATCGAGCCGCAAACTTTGGCATTAGCGAAAATGAACCAGCCGGATAATGTCGAACTCGGAATTAACGACATAATTTCGCAAAAAACAAGCCCTTCATTAGGATCAGAACAAAAACCACCACCTGAATACGAAAAATTTTGGTTCCCGACGCCCGAAACGTGCCCTAACCCGGAATCACTTCCCAGTATCCAAAGGGAAATTTACGACCAAATCCTCTACTTTCAAGGTCTTGAGAAAATTGAACCAAATAATAACATTCATGACCGGATGACCTTTTTGAGTAACTTTCAGTAGGAGAATTCAGTGTTGACAAATGACCAAAGGTCAGAAGTAGAACATTTGCTGATCGAATATGCGGATATATTTGCCAAACACAGATTTGACGTGGGTTATAATTCCGACCTAAAGATCAAGCTGACACCCGAACATCAACGCCATCTGTACACTCAAGGACCACCTACGCCCATCCAACTAAGGAATGAACTGACGGTTGAATTAGCTCTGATGCACTACTTTGGACTTATAACAACACTGTCACATTCTAAATACAGTAGTCCGTTGTTTGCATATAGAAAGCCATCTGGAAAATTGCAGATGTTGATTGACCTCCGGCGTATCAACCATTCAATCAAAACGGACTATATAAATAGCAATTTTCCAATATCAAACATGACCGATGCATCAAACCACTTTGCCGGAAAGAGTTTGTTTACTAAATTGGACTGCTCACAAGCATACCATTGTGTGCAAATGGCAGATGACCTTTCGGTCCGACTTTTGGCATTTAACTTCGGGTCGCGGACGTACGCCTACAAATGCCTAGCCCAAGGCCTAAGTAAATCTGTCACGGGATTCAGTTCATTCATCCGCCACTACCTCGATCCATGCCTAGCAGCCGACTTGTGCACAATTCATGGATGATATAGGAAGTGCGGTGAATAATTATGAGGAACTAATACCCACGTTAAAGAAAATATTCGAATGCATCCGAAAATCGGGCTTAAAACTTTCACCTAAGAAATGCGAAATAGGAACACAAAGAATGAAATTCCTAGGAAATGTAGTAACACCACAAGGAGTTACGCCAGAGGAAGCAAAAATTTCCGCAATTCTAAGCAAAATAAAAATGCCAAGAACAGTGAAACAAGTAAAAAGACTCATCGGGTTTGTGCAGTTTTTTAGGAACTACATGCCGAGTCTTGCTGAAAAACTAATACCATTCTATAAGCTGCTGAAGAAGCAGATCGACTTTGAAATAACTGAAGATCACCATAAAAACCTTGAAACTCTCAAAGCCGACTTAATACAAGCGACCACGTTGACACTCAGACTACCCAAGCCAGGACTGCAGTATGTCATACTTTGCGATGCCAGCTACCACGGGACTGGATTCGTGTTAATGGTCGAGGACTACGTCAAAAACAAGAAAAACGAAGAAATCAAGACGTACGCACCCGTTTCATTTGGTTCCCGGCTATTCAATACAGCACAGCTGAAATTTTCAACCTACTACAAAGAATTCCTAGCCTTGTATTTCGCACTTGATCATTTCTCGCACTACATCTGGGGATCAGTCAAACCAGTGATTGTATTAACAGATAATAGAAGTCTGACGCAATTCTTTCAGGCAAAAACCATACCGCCATCAGTGTCCAAAAATCAGTGACGCAATTCTTACCGCCATCAGTGACGCAATTCTTTCAGGCAAAAACCATACCGCCGAGTCCTGTCTTTCAACATCATAATCGCCCACATCCCAGGAACCGCAAACTACGCAGCAGACTTCTTGTCCAGGATGCAAACGGACCCATCGGCGTCTCTCTCACTAAAACTGACAGACAAAATACCAGTCAGGGAAATTTATGGTGACACAACCGCAAGAGTACCAGATGCATCGCTTAACCTGGTTCAATCTATCGATGAGGCATTTCCTGAAACAGAACAAGTCGATGAAGCTCTAGTAGCAAACCTGCAAAGATTAGGACTTTACCAAGCATACCTCGACAAACAAACAACTTGCGATAATCAAGGAACAATAGAACCTAAGGCGCTTGTAATGCTGAAGAGGCCCATGATGAATGCGATAGAGTATCCAGATCCAGCAGAGAACCACATTGAACTAAACTCCAAAAAAGAGCCAATTGACAGGAAAAAGGAACAACAACAAGATACTGACATCAAAGAAGTAAAGAAGTGGATAAGAACAGGCGAAATACCAGATCTTACGTATGCGAATAGCAGACTAAAGAAGTACGCAAAGCAATTTAATCGACTTGTCATTGAAGACGAAGTCCTTCTCCGCAACTTCTACGACGATACTGGTAAAATAAAACATAAACAGTTCTGCGTACCAAAACACATGTGGAACGAAACCCTATACAGAGTCCACAATTCGATGACAGGAGGACATATTGGTATGACACGAACCACAGAGGAATTCAGAAGGAGATTCTACTTTCCAGGATTCTCGGATTATTTGGTCAATACAGTCAAAAACTGTTTAACATGTCCGCAGCTTAAGAATGCGTCAAGTAAACATCAAGCACCGCCACTTCAACCACTTTCATCACTACAATCATACCCAGGTGACATGATGCAAATCGATATTGTCGGACCACTGAAGTCACCAGTCTACAAGTTCGTCTTAACTGGAATTGATGTTTTTTCCAAATATTTGTTCGCAGCACCGATGACAAACGCAAGTGCAGACACTGTCGCAAGAGAACTGACAAAGATGTTCTTCACACACAGCTACGTACCAAAAAAGATACTCTCGGACCTGGGAAGTGTATTCACGTCCAAGTTAATTCACGAACTCACAGGCCTCCTAGACATCCAAATCGGTCATGCAACGCTGAAACACCCACAAACCATAGGACTAGTAGAAAGATCCCATGGGGCCTTGAAACGAATTCTCAAACTCAATACTGACGCTCAATGGACAGATTGGCACCGTTACGTACCCCTTGGGACCTTCATACATAACACCTCATATTACTCGTCAATCGGATGTTGTCCTAGCACCATCTTTCGCGGGCGAGAGCCTATCAAACCCCTTGATCTAAGATTTTCGACCAAAGCATTGGAAATCGCTACGGCTGACGCCGACTTTGTAACCGCGCTACAAGACGCGATGCTCGAAAAATCCAGGGAGACAAAAGACAACATCGTGTCATCATACCACAGATACCGAGGATACTACGACCAGAAAGCACTAGCCCAGCCGCTGGTCCTTCACTCGTTTTGCCTACTCCTCAACCCTCTTCTGACAAACCAGTCTGATAACAGGAATAAATCACTCCAAGTATGGCTCCCCCTGTATAGAGTAGAAAAGGTGCTGACAAACAGCAATTATATAGTTAGGAAAGTTGGAACGAACCACACGCAGTGTGTCCACAGAATTCGTCTCCGATCGATTCAACCACAGCACCCACCAGAAGACGTTGACCCAATAGACACTACTCAATTCGTGGTAGACCCGTCGCTCATCAAGTACCGTAGCGAGCCGGGACTATTTGACGACTACCTCCCAAGACTGCTTGATGATGTCCAACCTCAGCCCGACAGCGAGACCCCACAAGCAGCTCCGACGACCATCCGTTTATCAATACCACTAGGAGGAGCCCTGGCACCAGCACTGCCACCACCAGCCCCTGCAGTAGCGATGGCACCGATACCTCCAGCACCACCACGTGAGCCACCAGCACCAATGCTACCACCACGACCGCCAACCCCACCTGACATCGAACGGGATCCAATTAATCCACCACGACCTGAGCAACATGACGTACCCCTCGGGGAAGATCACATCGAAGGAGCAGGAGCAGGAGCAGAAGAACCTGGTAAAATTGCACTAGGAAGCGACGAAAATGTCGAGGAACAACACGTACAAGAACCACCGCGAACGAGACGCAAAGCAGCAGCCATAGCACGTGACAGGATTTATGGACAAACTCGATTCAGCAACGACGTACGCTACCACCCGATACCACCCCGGGAGATGCAGCCTCGAAAATATGGTCTGCGGACAGTAGACGGACATGAAGTCGCTCCGGTTAACCTTAGCCTAAGATCAACCCAGAAGGCAAATCAAGAAAATATAAGGAAAAAAGCAGCCGAGGCGAACGAATATTTCCCCTCTCACAAAAAAAAAGAAAAGCATCATACGTGAGAGCATCCAGCGAGCTAAGCAACATGCACAGACAAATAATAAAGCTGGAAGCAGCAAAGATTCAATGAATACAATTCAAGAACCAAATATAATATTTGGCACTGGAAATCTGTTGCATTTCCCTGGCCCAATAGCCCATTGCGTCTCGAGTGACTTCCAGATGGGCGCCGGAATAGCACAGCAGATCCGCGAGGCCTACCCGACTCTACAGCCCACGTTGAAGTCGATCGAAACACCACAAGTCGGAGCTTCAGTATCAATGAGCATTCCTTCTCAAAACAAATCAATATTCAATCTAGTGACGAAATCGCAATATTTCAAAAAGCCGTCTTATTATGATTTTACACGCAGCCTCCGCTGCATGAGGAAGCAGCTAATCGAACAAGGAATCAAACAAATTGCGATTCCGAAGATATGTTGTGGTCTCGATAAATTACGAGAAAATTCAGTTTTCAACATCATTTACGATATCTTCCGAAAAGGCGACATAAAAGTCTTCGTCTATGTCTAAACAGCTTTATTTCACCGGTTATCATCATTGCAGCACCCTACGGACACGTGCACAAAGCCGGCTCACTAGCAGAAGTCAACTTCCTGGAGATCTCAAAAAATGCACGAAAACCCCATGTATTAACATTAGGGATAACACGTTTTTTTGATCCCTCAAAATTTTTATGAAAGAACCACCCAAACTTTCACCGGTTATCATCATTGCAGCACCCTACGGACACGTGCACAAAGCCGGCTCACTAGCAGAAGTCAACTTCCTGGAGATCTCAAAAAATGCACGAAAACCCCATGTATTAACATTAGGGATAACACGTTTTTTTTATCCCTCAAAAATATTATGAAAGAACCACCCAAACTTTCACTGTTAATCATCATTGCAGCACCCAACGGACATGTGCACGAAGCCGGCTCACTAGCAGAAGTTAACTCGGATCTAAATGAAACTCGACTAAAGAAAAACACATAATGGAGCGAAATAAACAATTATATTAATAAAGTACATTACGACAAACAAGGAATGATCACAGCGCAATTATAGGCAAACATATCATCACCGCTCGTAGTCCTTGACATCTGGACCATTACGATGTTTATCCAGTCTCTGTTGACCGATAGGAAGACGACTCGCGACGGTTTTCCAGGTCTTCTCAGCTCTCTCTTGTGGTACTCTTAAGCCAACCGACAGCAGTGAAGCACAACCAGCTACATTGCCAAGAGTCACCACACAATGAATCCACCCATATGGCAGATAAACCGAGTCGCCGACCTCTTGGGTGCAACATACTAAGTTCTGTCCATACTTGTTTAGACACTCAATAAATGCCTCAGCAGTTGCATATTCGGCCTCCAGCTGCTGGGTAAACAAACCAGGCTTTACGAAGAACCAGATCTTCCTCCCACAGCCATACAGAGTTATAAGACTGTCCAATGTCTCGCCAAAGTCACTATGCCAACGACTAAAATTCTCCCCTTCTGTCACCATCAAGTAGCCATATCCGTGAGCTGATACTTGTGCCCCTTCGGGGGCCCAGAAGTTTACAAATTCCTTCGTCACGTCAGCATCTTTTGGAACAAGATTCATCTGGGTCACGGCACCCATGGGACCAAGGCGAGTCTCATATTCCTTAAAGTTACGCAGGACCCGGTCTGAATACACTAACCTATTCAGAAGGCGCTGAAAAATGAGCTCATTTAAAACTATTTAAACCCAACATCGTTGATCTAGCAGCCAAGCGAAACAACAATAACGCCCAAACTCTCTACTTACTCGATAGTTTTTGTTCCTATATTCGACTGCGATAAACTGGCGAAGCAGGGCGGGCCTTTCACGACCCAACCCCTCCAATGAATCGAGGCACATAACTTGGGGGACGTCTTTCACAAATTCGCCAACTGCATGGATATCAGGCTGACCAGTCACCCCCACAGAGCGCGTCCTCCGCTTAGACGAGCCACCATCGCCGATACTAGTACGTCGTTTCATCTCACAACTGAAAAATTAACAACGGCATTAAAATGCGAAGATTCAGTTCGAAAAAGCAGACCTGCTTCTAAATATTCCGTAGAAAAGTGTAAAGCTACAATTCTATTTAAACGCATATTATTCACGGAAGCGATGAAAACAGTTACGCGATCCATGACATACTTTACCCAAACTCCGAAAATCTAGATTAAAAAACCGATTGAGCACTCACCATTGATCTTATGAAAAACACTGCTGAAAAGTACGAGTTTGAATTAAAGTATACAGCTAAAAAACTAAAGTACCAAAGTAACACAATTAAAATTAATAATAAAGTCTAAGAAGTTCTAAAACAAGTAGTCATTAAACAAAGCACATGTTCACTGTCGTCTCACAATCATTGTAGCCACACACGACAGCCACAGTACACAAAAGAGTACATTCAGAACCACCATCACACGGCTGGAATTTTCATTGGGGTCCTCTTCCGACAAGGACGGGCACAGTGGAGAACGCTCCGACCAGGTCCGACTTCCCGCAAACTGTACATAGCTGCCATTCTGGCATCAGAATAAAACAAACTTGCCCCAGGGCAGAGGAGAACACATTATCAACTGAAAATATTATATACACTCGTACATCCATTCAAAATTAACACAACGCGTCACTTTACCTGCGCTACTCGCTCAAAGAAAAACAGAATTTAAAAAGCTAAAACACAGAAGATTGATGTTAATATCTTATTGTAAAGTGGACACCATCTACAAAAATATTTGAAGCCCAATAGGCCCCAGTCACAAGAAATGAAAAATTGGACATAAATTAACCCCTAATTTGTAGTTATGTCCACCCGCGGGGAACAGGCCGCGGACTTACCTGGGGTGCTCTGGCACTTGCTTATGGCCTTTGAAAAAAGTTAGTTGCTTCTGGCACTTGCTTATGGCCTTTTATTTGTGAAAAAAAGAGTTGCTTCTGGCACACGAACTATGCTTTTCCCGAACAATTGCCCCACATCTACGTTACAAAACAAAAGACGATTATTCATGAAACGATTAATTAATATTTACACATTTATACATTTCGCCTCGAATGAACATCATAAATCTCGGCAACGAGATCAGCATCTTCGATCTGCTGTTCAAGGAAAGCACCCATTTGCAGCATTAGCTCGGGAGCAGCCACAGGTCGAACAGCATCAACAAAGGCGGCATTTAGATCCGCAAAGAACGACACAAACGACAGCCCAGCGATCGCAAAAGGTGGCACATAATCCACCATATTGTCCTCAAGGGAAACAACAATAGCACGCAACTCGGCCTCGGAGTCCCCCAATACATCTGTGACCTCATTGTCGACTCCGTCTTCAATCCGAGGCAGCTCATTGTCCATATATCTGGCGATATCTACTACTCTCATATTCAATAACTGAGACACCAACATCATGAACTTAGATATAAATTGTCAAACAAAATCTTCAAAACGAAGGTATAATGCGTCAACAAACAAATCCCCAATTCAACAAACGTTGAACAAATGACCAATTTGGTCATTTCGCTTAGCAAGTGCCATGGTCAATCCCAACTTGGAACGCAGCGTAAACATCCTGTTTACTCGATTCAAAGTAAATGTCACAACGGTCCCTCCCACTTAATCACAAATTCAAACGTTCTTAACGATTCATAACTTACAATAACCACGAATGACCGTTCTTTCATGAATCACGAGTATTTCCAACAGCTGCTACAATCCATTCAGAATTCAGACTTATTTCGATTCGATAGAACAACTCAATAGTACGATCTTTGCACTACAATCGAATGTGTGGTTCGGACTCGAAGAAACCAACTACTCAATTATCTACGAGTTCCCCGTGACTGATATCACACTCTAATTTGTCACCACCAACCAGGAACAATTACCCGAATTCCTGAAGGGAAATGCTATTACTACTCCTCACCCTACAAATAGGCCGTACATCGGCATCTCACGACGATGCTCTGTCTTCTGGGATAATCTTCCACAAAGAAAGTAAGATCCTCTTGGCAGAAAAGTTTGTAAATGTCCAGTTCCTTATTCCTTTCCCAAAGTACAATTTCACGCTGAAGACAGCAATGAGGAAGTACCTCGTCAAACTTTCGGAGAAATGGCGAACACCCTCTATAGAGTGCCCTCTAGATTTTTCCACGAATTTCAATACAACGACAGACCCATTCAACCTTGACTGGCTCCTGGACATGATCGAGGATAAGGCTGCAGCAGCAAAGCAAGAAGACCAAGCCATTAGATTTGACACTTCCCGCTTCCTCAACAAAAACCCACTAGACTCAACACGTACCCGCAGGGGAGCTCCACTAATTGCGGCAGCGGCCTTCGCCGGAATTGGTCTGTTTGGCTCTGGTATAATGATGGGCAATTCAGGAGGATGTGGACTTATGGGAATTTTCGGATCATGCCAGGACCAGGCCCAAGAAAATGCTAAGAACATTGAGACTTTGGAACAGTACTCAATGGCACTTACGGATTATGTATCAGAAATCGAAACATCGAGTAACGAGAAGTTCTTTGCGATATCAAACGAGTTGTCTGAAATTAGAGCAATTCAACAACAAACCATCAAAAACCAAAACAGGAACTGGAAAATACTCGAAGAACAATTTGACGCAATCCAAGGCAATTTCCACATCTTGCGAGATTGCACACAAACACTGTTCTCGAACCAACAGATCAACTTCAACTTCGACACAGCAGCATCACTACTAAACGTTATCTATGCAGATATAACCAGCTATAAAGCCGCACTTTATGCCTTTAAGACAAACGTCTTAAACTCCATACCGACTCTGCTGGACCAAAGACTACCGATGTCTCTTGTTCCGCGAGAATCCTTGTTGGCGGTCATAGACGCAGTATACAAAAGCCAAAAGGAGGAGAATCACCAATTGACACTTGCGATACCGCCAAGCGATATCCACTCATACTATGACGCGAAACTGCTTCGCGATGTCACAACAATTGAGGAAGGACTTCTGCTCAACCTCGCAATACCGTACGCTTCGAGTCAAACAGCCTTCCAGATCTACCGGGCCCATGTGATACCTATGCCACAAGGTGACCCAACTGAAGCCATCAAATGGGTTACTGAAGGATCATATCTGGCAATCTCAGAGGACTCTATGGAAACGACAGTTCTGACAGAAGACCAGTACGCCAATTGTTTGGGAAGCTCAACATACCGGATCTGCCATCAAACAATGGAGACACATCTTGGCCAGTCGTCATGCCTAGCCACACTTTATTTTCATTCAATAATGACGGCATTGCAAGTGTGCGACACGGAAAAGATACTTCTCCCTACGCCGGAGAAAGCTACGAGTTTGGGCTACGGGATTTGGCTCATCACATCAGCCAGTGCGTCATTTTCCCTACGAGAGTACAGCCTTGAAGAGCTTAACACCCCCAAACGGGAAGATCATGCAGGCTGTAATATTTGTCTGATAACATTAGACTGTGGGACTCAGTTGATCAGCAAATATATAAAA